TGATCATTAATGTGCTTTGTCCCTATTCAAATAAATAAATAAATAAAAACCCTCACGGGGCTTAATGAGTGGCAGTCTCCATAAAAACAAATATATTTCACAATTTCAAACATCAAGTCAAGTCAAGTCAAGTAGGCTTTATTGTCAATTTCTTTACATGCGTTGATCATACAAAGAATTGAAATTTCGTTTCTTGCTCTCCCGTGCAGACATAGACATAAATTAGATAAGTTAGATAAATTAGACATATAATAAGATGTATAATAAGATCTATATGATATTGTGTAAAAAAAAAAAAAAAAAAAAACATTTTTTTTTATACAACAATTTAAATATCATTTAGACCACAAGTCCATATGGGAAATTCAGACTTTAAACTCAGCTTTTAGCAGCAGTTTTCCTCTCTCTTCTTTTAGGTCAGCCGTTATTCTCTGGAGAAGCTTCTGGAGTTCGTCTACACCGGCCAGATGAACTTGAGCAGGTGAGCACTCAGGACATGTTTCTCTCTCTCCTCCACCGGAGAACGATTTACATGTTTCTGGATTCAAGTTTATTTCATTTACTCATAAATAAGCACTCACACCAGAAACAGTACACAGAATATCCAGCCTACAAACATATGCACAGTTTCCTCATACACGCCAGCCTTTAAAAAAACAAACAAACATATGTATATATAAAGACATATAGATATATCTATGTATATATACCTATCTATATGTATATATTCATAGATAGATAGATAGATAGATAGATAGATAGATAGATAGATAGATGTTTATATAGATAGATATATCTATATCTCTCTATAGATAGATAGATAGATAGATAGATAGATAGATAGATAGATAGATAGATAGATAGATAGATAGATAGATAGATAGATAGATAGATAGATTTCCTGAGACATATTTCCATCCATTTCTTCACATCTGGAGCTCCATTCATTTTCAGATAGATTTGGTATTTTACAGTCTTGGTGGTTCAGGCCCCTCCACATCCGGAGGGTGTGGAGGTCCTAAAACCTCACCTAAAACCTCACATGTTCAGGTCCTAAAACCTCTTCATCACACGTC